TGGACAGGGTGACCAAGGGGTCTCCAGATTCTCCCCAGATATCACGTGTCTGTAAAAGGCTCCTTTTGTCAGACAGCTTGGTAGGGAGGGAACGAGATCCTTAAATGTATGTGGAGGACAATAGAGAGCTCCAAGGAACCTGGTCCTCTTAGTCTCTAGATGGGAGACTTGCTACATTATCTCCAGATGCCCTGAGCTGGCTTTGAGCCCTCTTTACTCAGCTTGTCCACCTGCCAAAACACCTAGTCTTGCTCTAAAGCAATGCCACCATCCTTATTAACTTCTCCAAGTCTTGCCCCTTCCATGAAATAGGCTGTGTCTTGGGGCTCTCACAGGCCTTCTTGTACCTCTTTTTCCCTTGCTCACCTTTCTCCATGTCTACATTCAAACTCCAGCTCAGATCTCAAGGGCAGCCTGGTGGCATATGTCAGAGGGCGGATAGAAAGGCAGTCATTCTTCCTGACTTGCAATGCAATGATAGCTAAGATTTCACCCTGGAGGCCATCAAGTCCCCTCAGGATTCTCTGACCTTTGCCTCTCAGTTTCTCTATCAAGGCAAGGCCAGTAGCTGAAGCCCCAAACCAAACCTAGTGATCAAGGAGGTTATTAGAAAGGTTAGTGGAGCATGGTAGTAGGAGTTGAGGTGTGGACAGTCAGACATTGCAGTGGCTGATGGGCACGTGTTGCCACTGGCTTCCTCTTGGTGTGGAAGGAGGAAGAAGGCTGCTGCTTGGGTTGTGTGGGGGTGGGGCATGCAATGGGCCTGGGCAACAGGCTAGAGTTCCCATTCTTTAACTAAACTTCCATGGTGTTTCCTCACTATGTTTATAGAAAAAAAAAAAAAACAGTTTCTTTACAATTTGGTGAAATACTTTAAGGTTTTAAACCAATTTTCCCTCAAGCGCTTAACAATTTTGAAATACTGGTTTCTTAAAGTGAATGTTCCTCTTTAGCCCTTGTAGCATAGTTTTTTATATACATGTGAATGTGTGTATATTTACATACACCCTGTAGCTCTCATGTGCAGAAAAAATCTTATTGACAGCAAAACTCAAGTTGGGACAGATAGTCTGGCTCTACTGGGGATGAAGACAGGCTTTATGGGTGTTTGGGGGCTTGTAGCTATTAGCTATCGAGAGGTGCCAGAGCTGATTTTAAGAGAAAGAGGCATTGCTAGAAAGGGAAATAGAGGTCAGGGGACAAGTAACAAAGACAGCCTATTGATATGGGGGTGGGGAAGGAGAATGATAAACAAAGATTCATATGTTCAGTAAAAAGCTAAATCTGTGTGCATTTCTTTTAGATTTTCCTACTCATCATCTCTAACCAGCCTTTCGACAGATATTTTCTGAGCACTTTTCTCTGAATGATTGAAACTGTGTGAAATACTCTTCTGTCCGCATCGACTGCTCTTTCTAATCAAAAAGCATGCATGGTGACCTTGGGTAGCCTCTAGAAGGCTACTTTCAAGTTTCTCTGTCTTCATCGCCAGATAATGAGCCTCACTGTTCATCTGCCTCTTGTGTCACATGGGGAATAAATGTCATTCCAGCTGGCTGCCTCTAAATGGACACTTTTTCAGCACTCAGAAAAGGACCTGATATTTGCACAAAGTGCTTTGAAGTTCACCTGCTTGAGTTGCTCACAATCTCCTGCGTTAGCTCTTTCCATCTAATTCTTCTGTTGACACAATCATAATCAAAGTAGTAATAATGGCATCTCCTACTTCCTGAGACCTTACCCTGTACCAGAAACCATGAATGGCTATGTCAGAATTATTTAATTTAAGTATTCCAACATTCTATAAGTTTCTTGATCTTCCAATTTTTTTTTCAGATGAGAAAGCTGAGGTTCCAGAGGAGTTAATAAACTTGCTCAAGGTCTAACTGACTCCCCATGTAAAGTCAGTCCTAGAACTGGGTTATAGATTTGCTTCCAATGCCATGCCCTTTGGCAAGTCCCCCATGGTAAGGGGGCTTGGTAAGGAGCTTCTCCTGCTCCTATAATGTTTTGTATTGCCTCTTCCATAGCCCTTAACTACCTGGATTGCGACATTTATTCACTGCTCACTCTTTTCCATTAATTTGGGGGCTCCTCAAAGACAGGGGTCATGCCTTATTCACTTTTCACCCCTTGATCTCAGAGCAGTCCCCGGCAAGAACTGTTTGAACCCTGATTGGCTCTCCTGTGATGTGTCATGATGAAAATCCTAAAAAGCAAGGGAAGGTGGGGAGAGGAATTTCTGATCAATGCTGGATGATACATGAATTTCCATTTTCTAGTCCTGATTTTGACAGGGATGATGAGGAAAGTGACATATGCCATCCACCCGAAGCCCCTTCTCCCACCATGAAGGATGAAGTGTATCTTACTATCAACTGTACATCAGAAGACCAGCTACCCTGTGCAGAATGTTTAGAAGCAGATTCAGGGACCATTTCTCTGCCACAGTTCTGTTCTTGGGGTGCTCTCTCAGAGTCTTTGCCTCTAGAAGTCTCCCATGATAGCAAGAGTGAATGGGAAGACCTAGAGGACCCAGATGAAGGCATTTCAGGTGGGTATCACTTTGTGTGGGTGGAATGAGGCCAGGCTGAGTTCTTCTAGTGGGGCTCTGTGTTTTTAGCCCACTTTGGCTGGCTGATGGTCCTGGGTATCACTGCATCCCCCTCACATCCCCTCTGGGGGTCACACACCATCATGGCGAGTGTTTTCACTGAGCACTTAATGTCCATAACAACAACCCTATAAGATAAGGTTATTACCATTCCTGTTTTACATATGACATTTTGGACTTTCCCAGGGTCATATAGTAAATAAGTGACAGAATCAGAATTCAAACCCAGGTCTCCCACTCCACGGACCATGTGTTCAGTGTTGACCTCTGCTGCTTCCAGCACCGGCTGGGTATATCATCTTACCCTAGGCATCTCTCTTTTGGTGGGATGCTTGTAAAGTGCTTATTTCTGTTTTATCTGCTCCTTCATGGCCATGGGCTTGATATATTTGTGAGGACAGTGTTGTTATCATGTAATGTGGCCCTTCTTGTTGAGTCACTGTGGTTCATTCAACACAGCAAACTCTTTCTTGGTAAAGTACAACTATTAACACAAGATGCTGCTAGAAGTTGAGACTAGATCATCAGGCTGGGGTCAAATCATACCGATGAAGACATGTGAGGAGTAAGTGTAACAAAAACTGTCAGACTAGGAGTGAAGTGGGTTAAACTCTTCACGGGTTGCTAAACAACTCAACTTTCTGTTAAAATACCTACAACGTAAGTAGTTCCAGTATTTTAAAAAATGCTGAATGTTCAAGAAACTTTCACATAAACATATTTTCAAGGTGCGTTGAAATTTACTGAGGCACTGGTTCATGAAGATTCAGCTATAATTGAAACACACTTGTTCACTTTCACTCCACTGTGTCCCAGCTACATTTTTGCCACAAATGATTGAACTGAATTCTTAGAGGACAGTGGCAGCCAAGTTGATAAGGTGGGATAGTTATTTGAAATTCAAATATGACAAAAGGGCTGGTTCTTATCTGAAATAGGAAGCAACAAATTAATAGAGGGGATGACAAGTTAATGGAGGACTTGAAGACCATGCATACCATTTATGGGGAAGTTGCATACTCTGACAACCTTGGGAATGATACATTATGGATTCATAAAAGTGTTGAGCATGCAAGAGTGGTTTATGTGTGTGTGGGGGAATCTTCTGGAGAGGACTTATCAGGGCTGGGGAGCTAAGAGAAGATAGAGTCAGCAATGCTTTGGGGACCTATAGGGAAGCAACTAAGGAACATGCGTATTAGTAATTATGAAATGTCCCATGAGATCTGCAGTACCCTGGAGGGAGGCTGTGGAGAAGAGTAGTGACAGCAGGGTTTTGTGGTTGGAGGGGCTCAGGCTCCATCACTCACTAGCTAGGTCACCTGCAGCAAATAGCTTTTAAACCATCTAGGACTCAGCTAACTGACTGCCTAATGGGAATAACAAAAGCCTCTTCATGTTCTTGTTGTAAGATTTAGAGGACAATGAGTATCAAGTGTTTAGCACACTGTAGTAAGTACATGAAGGTGTTAGCTATTTTTATTATTAATCATAAAGAAGGAAATAACTTCAGTGAGATGAGTAATCTTATGAATGCATTCAAACCTGTTGGGTTTTTTTTCCATATGGACAAAGGAACTAGGCAGTCAGACTTGTGCCTTAATGTGAGGAATGGGATGGGGTAGGGGAGAGGTACTGGTTTATGACAAGACTTCAGTGGGTCTGGGATGGACTGACTAGCCTGCAGCTATGGACAATGGCTTAGAATATAGTTAGGCTGAGTTCTGACACAGTCACTTATCTTTTCCTTTTGAAGGAAGGCAGGTGTGCAGGTTTGAGTTCTTAGCTTGGGCTCCATGGAGCAGCCTACAAATGTGTTTCAAGGCATCCATGGTCCTCCACATCTAGAATGTTGACTTGTGTGCTTCTTTTGGAAAAAGCAGCTCTTAACACTCATCAAATTCTCTAAGTGATCCATAACCCCCAAAAGATTAAGGACCTCTGTTGTATATATTTTTGATCTCATCCTGGAAATAGGGAGGTCTGGAGGGAATAGAGAAGACTTTGTTTGTAGATAGAGTAGTGCATCCTTTACACCTATATAACAAATTATTTTAGTTTGTCCTTTTAGACATTGAGACAGTAATAGTGCATAGGTAGTTTCTATAAATGATTTAATTTAATCCTCACATTGACTTTGAATAGTATTCTTATTTCTTTTATGAACAATGCTTAGAAAGTTTATTTAATTTTTCTAAGATCATACAGCTAGGAGGAGAAATTCACACTGCATCTACCTGATTATACTTTTGGTACATTTTTACATTTCCCCCAAGAATGTGTTTTTTCATGTGGACTTGTATAACACAAGTCTTTCCATCACGTCATAAGCCCTACCTTTTCCCTTACAGAATATTTTTCTCTAATGAGGCTAAAACAAGCCCTGTTGTCCAGTGGTATTAGAAGGCAATGCAACTGTTTTGTTTAGGGAAGGCTGCCAGCCAAATGGCAAGGCCACCCAATAAAAGCTACTTATTGTTTTAGGTGAACACAGTCTCCTGAGGCAGAACCTGAGGGTTTCTGCATGGACATCCTTTTAATTGTGATCACATGGAAGAGCCCTCAGATGTCTTTGGCCCAGAGAATGTGCCCACAGGTTCCACCACCAGGAAAGAGGAGGTTCATACGAGGGTGACCTGGGATGAAGGGTCTGTCCCAGCTTTTAAGAACTAACTTTGAAAAGATCACACCTGTCACTTCTGTGACTCTTTTTGGATAGTGGCCATGACCTCTCTTCGGTCATGGGGTTTACATCAAGAAAAGCTTTGTGTGTGCGTGCGTGTGTGTGTGTGTGTGTGTGTGTGTACCCTTGCACTCATGGCTGGAGAGTAGAGGGGTGTTTCTCCTTGTAAAAGAAGAGAATCAAACTTCTACATCAAGATAAACCAGGATAAGGCAAGGTCTTGTGTTGCACTGGTACACACTTTCTAAGACAGATACAATATTCCAGTTAGCACCTTTTAGTTCTCCCTTAGTTGAAGGAGTTTTCATGGTTTTCAAAGTGCCCCTAGTTTTCTCAAAGGAATCTGCTAAGGGTCTTGGCTCAAAGGCCATGAGAGTGTGTTCTGACATCTTTCTGTGTTCTTCATATGCAACTCCATATGAGTATAAATTCTTTTGAAAGCGTTTTCTTTTGGGCCTCAGCCACCTGATTCTAAAGATTATATGAAGGAAAAATAGGACAGGAACATTTAATAAAAAAGGAAGAGTGAGGTGGCAGATCTGGCATTACCAGGTGTTAGACATATAGCCAACACCATAACAAAAATCTAAAACCATGTGGGATTAGCAAATGCACAAAAGAAATAGACCTGATGGACTACAGTGAGCCAAGGAACACACTCAGCTCTAAATAATGGGAGACACATGGCAGTCAGTTTCTCAGCATGGTGGAGGAGAACAACTTCATAGAGAGAACAGGGATGATTGAAAAAGATGATTTAGATTCTAAACTATTCATCTACTAAAATTAGGTTGATGAAATGCAAAAAAAAAAAAAGACATCAGAAAAAAGCTCTTAGAAAACAGATTCTAGTTGTATCACATCTACAGAGGGATAGCAAACTTAACTATGGCTTACAGTAATAGATAAAATGCATAACAAAGAAGAACTACTGAATTGATGATATTGAAATAACAATGATAAAATTAATGTAAAACTAGGAACAATAGGTTGGGAAACAATTTACATAATTGTGAATTATGATTAATATCTGCAATATTTATAAAGTGCATTAAAATGTTTAATAGATTAATAAAAGATTTCAATAGACAATGTATATAATAAAATACAACTGGTGGACAAACACATATTCTAATCAAAATAATGTCAATGTACTCATTTA